AATCATTGTCAGTTCCTTTTATGCTTCAGCTGTTAATTCTCTGGGACTGTTTAAATCTTTATCACCATCCAAGGTTTTGTTCAAATGAATTATTAGATCAGGTGTTATTCCAATAGCTGGTCGTAGACTGGAAATGTCTCCTAACAGTCTTTGAAAGTCATTAAGAGTCCGTAGGCAATCTCTCCTAATTTGTGCTTTTTGTGTCTTAATTTTTTGCAAACCTATTTTATAACCTAAATAATTAACAGAATCTCCCTTCTGAATCTTTTCAGGAGCGATTTGCAATCCCCATTTATGTAAAAGTATCTTTATTTCTTCAAACAGTCTGTTCAAGGTATCCATGTTTGAATCGGATAACAAAATGTCGTCCATGTAATGGTATACTATAGATTTGGGAAATTTCTTGCGTATTATTTGCAATGGTTGGTTCACAAAATATTGGCACAGGGAGGGGCTATTTAACATACCCTGGGGGAGGACGGCCCAATGGTACCTCCTCGAAGGTTGAGAATTGTTATAAGTAGGCACTGTGAAGGCAAATTTTTCTCTATCTTCTTCTTTTTCTTTTTTTTTTTTTTTTTGGTTTTTCGAGACAGGGTTTCTCTGTGGTTTTGGAGCCTGTCCTGGAACTAGCTCTGTAGACCAGGCTGGTCTCGAACTCACAGAGATCCGCCTGCCTCTGCCTCCCAAGTGCTGGGATTAAAGGCGTGCACCACCACCGCCCGGCTCTATCTAAAGGTATAGTGAAAAAACAATCCTTTAAATCGATAACTATGAGAGGCCATCCTTTTGGTAATAAAGAGGGCAAAGGAATTCCAGATTGCAGAGGGCCCATAGGTTGAATAACCTTGTTGATGGCCCTGAGATCTGTCACCATTCTCCATTTACCTGATTTTTTCGTAACCACAAATACAGGAGAATTCCAAGGGCTGGTAGATTCTTCTATATGTCCAGCATCTAATTGTTCTTGTACCAACTGTTCTAAAGCCTGTAACTTTTCCTCAGCTAAAGGCCATTGCTTTGTCCATATTGGTTTCTCAGTCAACCATTTTAGAGGCAAGGCTGTTGGTATCTCTGATGGGACATCAATTGCTTGTTCTTGTACAGCCCGAATGGCCGGTTTTCTCCATTTGTAATATCTTTTAATATTATTCTCAGAAATATAGGCTCTAGAAGTAGCAGGAATGTTAATTTCGATATTCCATTGTTGTAATAGGTCACGACCCCATAAATTCATTGCGATATTGGCTACATATGGCTTTAATTTTCCTATTTGTCCCTCTGGCCCTATACATTCAACCCATCTCGTGCTCTGCCTTACTCGAGATAGGGTTCCAATTCCCAGGAGCTGAACATTTACATTCTGAAGAGGCCAATATGGATGCCTAGATTCTGGGGTAATGATACTTACATCAGCACCTGTGTCCAGCAGACCAGTAATAAAAATGCCATTTACACACACTCTCAGTTTAGGTCTTTGATCATTTATAGAAGTTTGCCAAAACACACGTAACTTATCTTTCTGATCATTATTGCTTGTAACAGTAGGCATGGGCCTTTCTAATTGTCCTGATGAGGCACGTTCTCTGCAGAAACTGGATATGACTGAACCATGTTTGCCATGGGGGCCTGTGAGGCCCCCCCTCTCACGTTTCCCGTCTGTATCAGGTTGCCTTGTCTATCTCTTGTAGACCTGCATTCATTCATCCAATGTCTGCCTTTTCCACATCTTCTACATAAACCTGAAGGCTGAGTCCTCCTATTTCTGTTATTTTTAGAATATGCATTATTATTATTATTTCTGAAAGATGGATTATTATTATTATTATTATTTCTGAAAATCCGTTGTCTACAATTCCTTTTCATATGACCCATTTTGCCACAATTAAAACATTTGGTATTCTGGTGTCTCCTTTTACCATTGGAAATTGCTTCTTCTACTCATGCTTCAGCCCCATAATCAAATGTATCAACATTGAGTGTATGCAAGACCCATTCTTCCAAGGGCACTGATCTGAGATTTAAAGGCCCCAAAATCCTTTTGCATTCCACATTTGCATTTTCATAAGCCAAAGACTCAATCATTATACGTCTTGCTTCTGGGTCAGATATCCCTATTTGTACAGCCTTAGTTAATCTTTGTAAAAAGTCACTAAAGGGTTCTCTCTGACCCTGTTTAACTCTGACAAATGATTCCATTCTCTGTCCTGGGTCTTGTACCCTGTCCCAAGCCCTTAAGGCTGCTGTAGTACACATGGAGAGTGTGTTTTCATCCAAATTAGCTTGTTCCTGAGGATCCGAAAAGAGCCCTTCACCTAGAATTTGATCTAGGGAAATGTCAATTCCCTTCACTTTTTCCTGCTGTTCTAAGAGTCTAGCCTCTTGCCTGAATAAGCATTTCCATTTCAATTGCGGTCCACTCTCGAGTACCGCAGAGCTCAGCTGGAGCCAGTCCGAGGGGGTTGCTCTGCTTGCTGTGGCCTAAGATCTTAGCATCTCTTTAACAACAGAGGCTTGCATCCCAAAAGTTATGACAGCCTGTTTTATTTCCTTGAGATCATTCATACGGACAGGCTCCCATGTATCCTCCTTGATGACCCTAGGGTTTTTGGAACCAATCACCTTCTCTGTTGTTATTACTGGAAAGGCAGGTAGAGCTGTAGGTAGAGCTTTGTGGAAATTGTCCCGGAGAGATTTACCCACAGATGTAGTTAAAATTTGCCTTTCTACCCTTTGCTCTTCTTCATCAGAATTTAGAAATTCCTCAATCTTTTCAATTCTATTCACCATTGCCTTCTGCAATGTCTGAATCTCCTGTCCAGAATTATGTTCCAAAGCCTTCATTGAGGATTCTAAAGTATGAAGTTTGTCCGTTAGAGATAACATCTCATCTTTGGACATAATTTTTATGGCATAAACCGTGCCTTCTTGTATTGACAATCTTTCCATCAATCTGTCATAAGCTTTAGACAAAATCCGATTGTCACATTCAGCAGTTTTGATTCTCTCAGTTAATGTTTCATTTCCTACAGAAAGGGACTGAATCTTATTGTCCAAATCAGCTGTTCCCTCTTCCATAGTAATGAATTTCTCCTTAACATCAGCCTGGAGAACTTCAAACTGATTCTTGAGAAGATTGTTATCAGCCTGGAGAACTTCAAACTGATTCTTGAGAAGATTGTTATCAGCCTGGAGAACTTCAAACTGATTCTCATAAAGATTGTTATCAGCCTGGAGAACTTCAAACTGATTCTTGAGAAGATTGTTATCAGCCTGGAGAATTTCAAACTGATTCTTGAGCAGATTGTTTTCATTCTCAATTGTTTTTAAGCGTTCAATCTCTACCTTAAGAATCCTGGATTCGTCTTGTAAAGACTTTATCATATTTCTATTATCAAACCATTTGGTGCCAATGAAAACTATGAATCCCAGAAGGATCCATAGATGTGGGGTGATAGACACCTCTTGTAAAATCTCCCACATGGTACAATTAAAAAAACTGTTAAATTCTTGAACAGTAATGTGTTCAGACATTTTATTTATAAAAGAAAAATTTTTTACCTGCAATGATTGGTTCCTGTCAGTGGTGGTCTCTGTTTTTGGAGCCTGTCCTAGAACTAGCTCTTGTAGACCAGGCTGGCCTCGAACTCATAGAGATCCGCCTGTCTCTGTCTCCCAAGTGCTGGGATTAAAGGCGTGCACTACCACGTCCTGGCAGGCCTCAAACTCACAGAGATCCGCCTGTCTCTGCTTTCCAAGTGCTGGGATTAAAGATGTGCGCTACCACTGCCTGGCCGGCCTCAAACTCACAGAGATCCGCCTGCCCTTGCCTCCCAAGTGCTGGTATCAAAAGCGTGCGCCACCACTGCCCGGCCAAGTCACTTGTGGCAGCTTTTGTTGCAAAACCGCAGGTACTTGAGCTTCTGCTAATTCAGGCAGTGGGGTTCCACTGCAAAACTTAGCCAAGGCAGGCAGAATGGGCCTGTGTCGCCGAGTGTGTCTCGGACTGGGCACTGGGGCCGGAGTCACGAACTGAAAAACAGCACCCGGGAGGCTTTTATCTTAGCTAGCGGGCTACCCGCTTGAGTCGGGGGCAAAATAGCCCGACGTTGGACGCCAAAATGTAGCGGCGTAAACGAATGCAGACAGATTGTAAAAATATATATAGTTTTAATGTAGAAATAGACTGACAGAACCACCGTTCCCGTGGAGACTAGGAAAGCAGAAGAGCCAGCTCGGAGCTTGCTCGCCAAATTTATAGGCAGACATTAGCCCGAGGCGAACACGCCCTTTAAGGGGCGGGACTTATCCCTACACAGTTGCAAACTTTAATAATAACTATATATTATATAATGAGTTATTTAAAACATACTGTGAGTTTTCTAGAAATTCCTACTTATTTCTAGACCAAGGGTGACAACAAATAACTCAAATTTTGGGAAGAAAACCCCTGAAAGGAGCATTCAGTTAAGAGGGGCTACTGTACTGATGCCTAAGAATGCACCAGATGCTCTCTCTACCCTGCCATCCCAGCTGCTGGGGGCAGTCATATCCAGACTCCATCAGTCAAGAGAGCAGAGCTTCTCTTCAGTACTAGAGGACTTATTTAAATTAAACCGAGCAATATGCACTCTTACGTTTCATAATTTCACTAAGCAATTCTGTATATCATGCAGATATACACGCAGTATAAAAATTGTCTTTTCATTGTCCAGCAGAATTCTACAAACAGTTAAAAGTCAACCTGTTTGTGGACGGATGAGTTGTTTTCTGTAGTAACTCTTGGGATTCAGACAGCATGAGCTTTACTATGATAGGTTGGGACTGGCGACTTATCAGGAGAATTAATCAAAGAGTGGCTATAGCATGCACACGATAACATGGTCCATTTATAAATCAATTCACTGAAGTGTTGAGAAAGACCTTCAGTCAGTATCAGTTCTACCTTGTAAGAAATTCCCTAAAATAGAAAGTGAATGAGTCCATGAAAATGGTCTTACCTGTGAAAACGGTTATGGCTGAGTTGTCTGTGCTGGCGTTTTTAAGGGCAAGTATTATGTCCTGATACATCTATGTGAACAGAAAGACAGAGAAGGGAACAGTAAAAATGAGATCCATCGTCCAGTGGACTGAGCCACTGTATCTGTCTGCAAGCTTTCTTTCAACCTAGTGGCAAAGTAATTTTTTTTTAAAGAGTTACTTATTTCAGTTATATGCGTGAGTGTTTTGCCTTGTTTATGTTTGTGCAATGCCTCAGACCTGGTGCTTTTGGAGGTCTGGAGGGAGTGTCAGATCTGTTGTGACTGAAGGGACAGACGATTATAAAGCACCCTGTGTGTGGCTGGGAACCTTAGGAGATATGAGTGCTCTTAAGGACTGAGCCATCTCTCAAGTCCTCAATAATTGTTTAGAGATGACTAAAAGGAGGCTGCCTGAGAGGATTTCTGCTGCTCTGATAATGGCTGGGTGCACATGATGGACAGGTGCTGTGGCAGATGCACTAAATAACTATGTTATCCAAAGGTGAGCAAGAGAGACATAGTTCCGGAGCTATGCAGCTGGGCAGTTACTGTGCTCCAACAGGGATGGAGGGAGTGAAGTACATGGGGTAACACACAGCTTGCTAGAACTGCTGAGGTTGCTGCAGCAGGTAAGAGGAAAGGTGGCTGACAAAACTCTCCCTGAAACAGCATCTCAGCTGTCACTTCCAGGAAGGGGAAGTGTCCTGTGGAGTCGGGAAGACAAAACTAAGGCAAAGGCTGGATTTCTGGGACTCTCTGTGCTGGGATACAAAGGCTCTGGCCCTGAACATCTCTGAAAATCTTGCCATAGTTTTAATATGTTTTCAAAATTGGTATAGATTTTATTAAAACTGTACTAAAAATTGGTATAAATCTTATTAATGATTCAATGTGGGAAGGAGTTATGAGGAGGGTGGGTATTTCTAATAACACTGGAAAAATAGAAGCATGAACTTAATACGCGAATAATGATGAGACTGTTTTTCTTAAGGCAGGGGACAGAAAATAATTCCTGAGAATTACAGCAGCCAAGGTTACTAGGTAGAGCTGGAGCCAGGAAAGAGATGGATAAATTTAAATTCTCCTGCTTATCAGCTGTAAGAACTTACCAAGTTACATCTCACCCTGCTCAACGAGTTTATTAATTGTGTCAGCGTCTTCCTTTCGGAAAGTCCTGAATCTTGTTACATTGTGAAGTTGTACTACCCTGCTAACACAGAGGGAACTCAGAACAAGCAAATATCGAGTTCTCAGAATTAAGTGCCTTAAAAAATTGAAGGTTCATGAGTTGCTTAACAAGATCCTTGAGACTTCAAATGAGCCTGCTGTCCCATACTGCAGATGGCAGCCTTGACATCCAAGCACCTGATAAACCCCTGTAATCAGGGAGAGGGGATCCAGTGATTGACTTATTATCAATGTAGTTCAGGGGAAATTCAAATATACCCTGTTAAGCAGCTCATTCAACAGGGCTATTACTGCTTTGCTGAGGATGGAGTCTCTGCAGTTCCCTGCAGGTGCACACAAGCATGGTCCACGGGTATGGAAAAGACTCAGATTTTACAATTCCCTAAGGGGTCTCTGTGCATCTCTATCCATGCTCTTTCATTTCGACTGATTTAACTGATTTGTGCTTTCATTCATAGTAAAGCTTCACCGCCTTCTAGATTTGTAGAAGCTACCAGAAACTTCCCCGTTCTAAACAATGTCTGACTCTGCTGAGTTAAGCCATATTCTCTAGTCTTCTTCAAAAATAGGAATAGTGCGGAAATTCTACAGTTGCATGAAAGAATGAAATAGAGGAAATAGAGGAGCATCACCTCTAAAGTTATGGCATTCTTTTTGGAGGGCCGATTGAACATGATCTTCGTGATGCCATCTTCAGAGGTTACCACAATGTCCTTAGACTCCTGGACTTTCACATCAGTTCCACTTTTGCCCTGGCTAGAGGCTTCAGATGAGGAACTCAAACTGGACACCAGATCCACATAGTTCTGCCTGGCAGTTTCCTGAAGAGTAGATGACAAAGACCTTTGGCCTTTAAAATAAGCAACATGAAAAACATACAGTGCTAATAAACATCACTATGTGATCAAGAGCAGAGTCTTTGATTCAACAGAGGTGCATTGCAACTTCCAAAGTTGTGGGACAGGAGATCCATGTGTGTAATTCCAGCCACTGGGATGCTGAGGCAGGCAGATTTTTGAGTTCATAGCCAATCTAGACTACAGTACTTGAAGAGTCCAAGAATAAGAAATAGAAATGTAGATATCAGAAATAAGAATATATAAATAAAAAAATACAAGTTGTAAGCCTAGGAGAATGAGAGCAGGCTGTTAGCAGCTTTCTCAACAGCCTGAAGATTAACTATTAATAGTAGGTAACTTCATTTTAGAATCCATAGCTCTACCTGAGAGGCTGAAGCGGCCCTGGCTCTGCAAACCGAGCATCACTCTGCAAACTGAGCATCAGCTTTTAGTTAAATCCCTGGCCATTCATGACCAGCAATTGATGAGAGCTGAGTTAACTTTTAAATGATGGGATGTACGTGACTTCTGACTTTTTGGATGTGTATTTTCCAATATCCTTCCCTGCCATGAGAAACTGGCAGTATCAGGGTGCAGAGCCTTAGTTAACACTATCAAGGACTAAATACAAAGATGAGGTTAACTAAAATCTCTGTAAAATGAAATTGCAAAAAAGGGCAATATGTGTCTACATATTTCATCTCCAGATTGTAAAAATTTCTTTCTTAGTGCCTAATAAAATACTGTTGTGTCTCAGGTAAGGAGAGTCAGGAAGAGGGAGATAAGTGAGTGGCGGGGGGGGGGGGGGGAGACACTGGTGGGTGGGGCAGTTAGAACACTTTAGGCACTCTTCAGTTTTTGTCATAAAAACCGGGGATTCAAAAAACTGTCTTTTGCCACAGCCTTTCAAGCCCAAACTCTGGCTGTGGTCTCAGCTAGCTGTTAAACTTTTTGTGCTCCATAGAGATTTATTTTTAAGTTTTAATTTTTTTTCCTGGAATTGAGTTTACTACTGATTTCCTAGACTTGGGTGGTCTGTCCCCATCTTTGTGTGAATTGCCGCCATCCCCCTGGTGGACCCAACATAGTGAGGGGGCAAAATAAAGGAATTTCAGTGACTCACGCACAGAGATTTGGGTGGGGCAGGGAAACATCTAGTGAGTTCTGGTTAATAACAGGACACAAACTTACCTGTGTGAGGCTGCCAAGGGCATTCCATGCTTCCCACTTGGCTTTATTGACTGGGTCAAACACTCCTGGTTTAGAAACATTACAGGGTCCATCTGTGGCCTACAAAGAATGCAGGGTTTGAAGTCAGGGATGGTAATGCCTCCAGAAGATCCTTTATTGTATAAGATTGTTTTGGCTATCCTGGGTTTTTTGTTTTTCCATATAAAGTTGATTATCATCCTCTCAAGATCTGTGAAGAATTTTGATGAGACCTTGATGGGGATTGCATTGAATCTATAAATTGCCTTTGGTAGAATTGCCATTTTTACTATGTTGATCCTCCCAATCCAAGAGCAAGGGAGGGCCTCCCATGACGGAGGAAGGTCATTGGCTAATAAAGGAACTGCCTTGGCCCATTTTATTGGTTAGAAGATAGGTGGGAGGAGAAAACAGAACAGGATACTGGGAGGAAGAGGAAGTGAGCTCAGAGACTCGACCGCTTTCCTCTCGGGAGCAGACGCCTGAGAGAGATGCCATGCCCCACTCCCGGGATGAAGCTCCGACCCAGGATGGACTAGGCTAGAATCTCCCCGGTAAGCGCACCTTGGGGTGCTACACACAGATGATTAGGAATGGGCTAAATTAATATGTGAGAATTAGCCTAGAAGAGAATGGGCCAAACGGTGTTTAAAAGAATACAGTGTCCGTGTAATTATTTCGGGGCATAAGCTAGCTGGGCAGGCGGCTGGGGTGTTGGGGACGCAGCCCCGCCGCCACCCTTATTACTTCACTCCCATTTTCTGGTATCCTCTTCAATTTCTTTCTTCAATATCTTAAAGTTCTTGTCAAATAGATCTTTAACTTCCTTGGTTATAGTTACTGCAAGATATTTTATGCTGTTTGTGGCTATCGTGAAAGGTGAAGTTTTCTGATTTCCCTCTCTGCTTCCATATAATTTGTGTGTAAGAGGGCGACTGATTTTTTTCGAGTTGATCTTGTATCCTGCCACATTACTAAAGGTGTTTATCAGCTGTAAAAGTTCTTTGGTGGAGTTTTTGGGGTCGCTTCTGTACACTATCATATCATCTGCAAATAACGAAAGTTTAACTTCTTCCTTTCCAATTCGAATCCCCTTGATCCCCTTATGTTGTCTTATTGCTATTGCTAGAACTTGGGTGGGATGGGGGTAAGGGGAGATGGGGAGAGAAAAGTGAGAAGGGGAGGATGGGGGGAACTTGGGGAAACAGCATGATTGGGATAAAGGAAGGTTGGATAGGGGAGCAGGGAAGCACAAATCTTAGTTAAGGGAGCCACCTTAGGGTTGGCAAGAGACTTGACCCTAGAGTGGCTCCCAGGAGCGCAAGACGATGTCCCCAGTTAGTTCCTTGGGCAGCCGAGGATACGGAACCTGAAATGACCCTATCCTATAGCAATACTGACGAATATCTTGCATATCACCATAGAACCTTCATCTGGTGATGGATGGAGATAGAGACAGAGACCCACACTGGAGCACCGGACTGAGCTCCCAAGGTCCCAATGAAAAGCAGAAGGAGGGAGAACATGAGCAAGGAAGTCAGGACCACGAGGGGTGGACCCACCCACTGAGACAGTGGGGCTCATCTATTGGGAGCTCACCAAGGCCAGCTGGACTGTGACTGAAAAAGCATGGGATAAAACGGACTCTCTGAACATGGCGAACAATGAAGGCTGATGAGAAGCCAAGGACAATGGCATGGGGTTTTGATCCTACTTCATGTTCTGGCTTTGTGGGAGCCTAGCCAGTTTGGATGTTCACCTTCCTAGACATGGACGGAGGGGGGAGGACCTTGGACTTTTCACAGGGAAGGGAACCCTGACTGCTCTTTGGACTGAAGAGAGACTGGGAGAGGAGTGGAGGGAGGGGGAGAAGGGTGGGAGGAGGTGGAGGGAAATGGGAGGCAGGGAGGAGGCAGAAACTTTTTTTTTCTTTTTCTCAATAAAATTTTTTTAAAAAAAGAACGCAGGGTTGATTAATCTGGAATAGAAAGCTTTTGAGAAAGTGGCCTAGAAGCGAAGAGTTCATCAGTTTTGTATCTCTGATCATTTGTCACAAGTGAAAACACTAGCCAATTTTCAAATCACAAAATTTTGAAAGACCACACTGTCTAAAGTCCTCTCTATGGGCATAGAACCAGGAATTTAGTGATAAACTCCAGCTAACTGCTCAAAGGGCTGTAGCTGGTGCAGGTAGGGATGGGGTCTTCAGTTCCTGGTCCCCAGGAAGCTTAGCTGAATGGCACTCCAGGAAATACAAAAATTTTGTGTGAGGGCAGGTTGGGTGGGTATCCTGAAATGAATTAACACCCCACTCAGATACTTTAAAGAAGATATTTTCAAATGTTTTAAGATGCATAAATTATGCCCTGGAGTCAGTTCATGGAGGACAGAAGAGTCTTGGAGATGATAGGAAGTGGAGGCTTCGCTCATCCAAAGTCACCCACTATAGTCAGTCATTTGGGAGGTGACAGGATACCGAGCCCACAAAGGGCTGCACAGAATTCCCTCTGCCAATGGGAAACTAAGAACCTGCTGGAGATTACAAGTACTGGCTTCTATTTGTTCCTCATCCTGGCATTTCTCCATCCAAACTGCTGACCAGTCAGTCCTAACTCCAGACAGACTATGAAGCTTAGGGTTGCAAGGTTTCTAAGACGACCTCAGTTCACTTCCACTAAAAACACGCACAGTACCATTGCAAGCTGTGGTATTCATGGTTAAAGTTCCTCACAGTGAAAGGATAGAGACTTAACTACTGAGGGCAAAGACTCATAGAATAGAGTTCAGAGCTGAAGTCAATGTGACACTCCTATTGTCTTCTCTCCAAGAGTCATGAAGGGGAAAATCCCCAGACTGATGGATACATGAAAATATGGTGGACTATTGCCAATGAAGAAGTTCTCTGCAGTTTCCATGTCCACTGTTTGCCAGAGTCCTAACCCATAGGTCAACCTACCTACCCTGAGAGCAGCCTGTACACTAAATCAATGGCTAGACTCTCCAGGCAAACAAAGATGCTTGTGTCAAGCATGACCATGCATGGGCTTCGAGAATAACACCTAGCAGCTGAGGACAAAGTCTTTTTGGGCAAGTAAAATTCTTGAATGTATACTTCCATTTTCTGAGTTAGGGTTTCAATTGCTGTGATAAAAATACTCTGACCAAAAACAACTAGGGGAGGGGAGTGTCTATTTCAGCTCCCAACACTGAGGTCTTACTCCATTGGTCAAAGAAGTCTGGGCAGTAAATGAAGACAGGAACCTGAAGACAGGAACTGAAGCAGAAGTCATGGTCAATGAAGTTTACTGGCTTGCTCAGTGTGCTCTCTTAGGCATTCCACATCAATCATTAATCAAGATAATGTCTGACAGCTGTGCCCACATCAATCATTAATCAAGATAATGTCTGACAGCTGTGCCTACAAGTCAATCTTATGGAGGCTCTTTCTCAATTGAGAGTCAGTCTTTCCAGATGACTCACGTTTATGTCAAGTTAACAAAGAAAAACAACCTGGACACCTCCACAGAGACACTCATGCTAATCACCTAGTAGATATCTTAAAAATAATAAATTGTAACACAGGAGTCCAGGCTGGCAGACAGAGGAGTGAAGTCTTTCCATTATAGCCTTTAGTTTCTCAGTGATTATAAAAATTTTCAAACATTCACAAACACATGAGTTGTAATATCCTATTAACAGTTATTAAATTTTATCTTATATGCTTCACCTATTTTTTAATTTTAATTGGTTTCAAACATCCCAAACACCACATTATCCACCCTTTAATTACTATCAATTTCCCTGAAACACAAACATTTATTACATAAACATGGCACCATTAACAATATCCAGGATACCACTAAATCTCAATCAATATTCAAATTTCCCAAATTGTCCCCAAAACTCCGTTTCAGTGAGTTACTCTAATCAGGTCGGACTCCAAAGCAGGAGCCCAAACATGCAAATGTGAATGTGAATGTTATATCTCTGTGCTTTGAAAGTATATCAAGACCCAACCTAAAAAGCAAACCTAAACAAAGCCTGCATCACAAACCTCAAAGAGTGACAACCATGCAGCCCAACCATGCAAAGCTGCCTGTTAGAAACATATCAACTTCAGGAATCATTTGCTCCAAATGTGTATAAATCACATCTGACCTCAGCCCATTACCTGCTTATACAGCGCATAGAGTTGCAGCTTCACTTGGTTTCCTGGGTCCTTCTTCAAGAGTTTCACTTGGTTCACTGCATTTTCAAAGTCCTGCTGACTGGCTCTCATCTTTGGTCTGCCCAAGTGCACCTGAGCCACTGGGAATCTAAAGACCTGCGGGAGACTACAAACAGTGGTTTTTATTTGTTCCTAGGTCTTCCTTTCTGCAGCAGAATTACCCACTGGTCCCAAGCCCTATTAATCAGGATTTTCTATAAGTCAGCAACTTCCCACAGACTGGCACAAACTTTTTCAAATGACGTGTAGGTTTTGCCTTTTGAAAAAGTCACTCATGCCACCACCGCTTTACTGCAACCACCAGACTCCAGGCTTTGCTCCTGGGGCGCAATTTCTTTGGGTTTGTTTCATTTAGGTCGCTCTAACCAGCCACTTCTCTGAACAGAGTTTGAAAACCACGATAGTGATAACGGATTGTGCATGTGCAGCGCTCAGAAAACTGGCAATCTTGGTCACAGTGCAGCCTTAGAGCCCTAGGAAGTTCCAGGTTCGGCCTGCAGGCATGGGCACTGCCAGAAACCAGAGCTTGCAACTCTCCCTGGTGGACAGAGGTGAGCAGAGTACTTCCATTCTTTCCCTTTTCGATTCAGCAGAGGAAGGACATTCTATTTAGAGCTCTCTAGCTGGGAAACCCTCAAAGGAGGATCCTGCTGTCCTGCTATCCAGATCAGTTGACAGATTGGGCTGCTTGCGCGGGCGCTTCTGCGTGTTGGCAACAAACCCTGCTGGCAACTTTGGGTCAGAGAGGGGAGACTGCAGGCTTACCTGGGACACCAGTACAACACCACTCTCCAGATCACTGCCACCAAAGCTAGATGCTTAAGACAGTGTGATCCCTGAGGCTTAGATCCAGTTGAAACTGCAGGACCAGACCAGGTGGGGGCAGAGCCAGATGTGAGATCTGAGCAAAGGTGAAGCCAGGCTTCTTAGAGCAGGTAGAACAGGGCTAAGGTGTGTGCTCTGGGGGAGGGGTGGGGCTGGCCTCTCTTACAGATCTGAGAAAGGGCAGATATCAGGGAGGAGCCCAGAATTTCTGGTCCAACTTCGTACGAAGGCGACTGGCACAAGACTGGCAAAGACGGCTGGAAGCAGGAGTAAAAAGGCAGATCGCTGGGCTCTGGGAATTTTAATCAGAGATCCTAAAGCATATTCATGTAGAAACCGGATCATTTTTCAGCATGTTCAGTTAGGAGCACAATTCTGAGCACGCTAAGTTTAAGGTCATGGAGCACGTGTTTAAAAGATTAAATGAACAAGAATGCCCTCTGGACATGCTTATCTTGCACAATAAAGTCTAAGAGGAACATGGAAGGACACTGTTCAAGTTGCATTAATGTAGGCATTTGTACCTGAAGGTGTCAGCCTTGCTTAGCAGCTAACCATATGAGCAGGGGCCATGTCCTGTGAACGCAGTGTCTGACTGGAGACAGGGTAGTAATGGGGCAGTTCTCAATGAAAGGGAACCACTGTGAGTTGGGCAGCACTCCTTTTCAGCATGAGGATCACTGTGTCCAGGCAATGGTGTTTGGACTCTGTGCTGAGAACACGAGAGAGCCAAAAAAGAGCTAATTGATAAGGCTAGAGAGTTGGCTGAGCTGTTTGAGAACATTTGTTGCTTTTGCAGAGGACCCGGGTTTGTCTTTCCTGAACCTACATAGTGGCTCATGACCATTCAGACTCTAGAGCCAAAGTAACCGATCTCACAGTCTGACCTCTACAGGCACCAAACACACAGATGGTGTTAAATGTGTACAAAATTGCAAAATCAACCACACATAAACTAATAGATAAAGTTAAATTAAAATCTTAAATACATTTTTTAAAAGATCCAATTGGCATGCCTTTGATCTAGTTCACAGAGCAGTCAGAGTGTCCCAGCACACATCCTGAGGGTATTGATTCTGGACCAGAGTAAGAATGGCAGAATCCTCAAGCCCTCAGCCAGAGCTCTAATCTCCACTATGTTGTATGAGGACCACAGCCTCCTGGTTCCTTTTTTTTAAAAAATATTTATTTATTTATTATGTATACAATATTCTGTCTGTGTGTGTCTGCAGACCAGAAGAGGGCAGCAGACCTCATTAAAGATAGTTGTGAGCCACCATGTGGTTGCCAGGAATTGAACTCATGACCTTTGGAAGAGCAGGAAATGCTCTTAACCACTGAGCCACCTCTCCAGCCCCCAGCCTCCTGGTTCTAATGAAGATCTTTAGATAAGATGTCTGATTCAATTAGATCTGACCTTAGAGGTTGATTGCAGGGACCAGTGCTGCCTAAGAAGGGATTTGATAGAGTCCCAGGCCTAATAATGGTCACAAGAGCCTAAGAAATGTTTCAAGTGATACTGAATCTTGGGGGTTCTACTTTACCTTACATGCTAAGAATTTTGGCAGATGTTTCTTGAAATAGTAGAATGAAACCTATGGTTGATGAACCTGTCAGCCAAGGTGACTGTTTTTATTTTTAACATTAAAATCTCATAAGATTATATTATTATCCTGATATATAAAATTCTAGCACATATAGTGTAAGGAATGACTTTAATTTTGTGCAAACAATAGCGAAGGCTGGAGTCTGAAAGAAGCCTGAATCCTTTCTGTCCCACTGTGGGCTCCCCTCTCTGGATCTGTTGTCCTTCCACAGCTGTTTCTTGGCTTTATCTCCCCCTCCCCCACCCCACTCAGTCTTTCCTCGGGTCTCACTGTTTCTGCATTGCTATAACTTGATCAGCCCTGACTGGCTTTGCTTTCTTCCCACCTCTGCAGCCTGCTTTGCTCCTGCTCTCTGACTGATCTCCCTACAGTGTAACTCTGTGATGGCTGTGGTTGGAACTGTGGCCCAGAGTTCTCATTTGGGAAACATCTCTCAGTTCCTGTGTCTATGGCATTTGGGGGCAAGACCTTTGAGTAGTAACTAAGGTGAAATATTAAAGAGGATCATGAAGGCCTTGTCTAGTTGAGAGACCTTGACAATTAGATATCCCACTTTCCAAAATGCTTCTGGCTTCTGTTGTTTGTAATTTACCCAGTTGGAGGCTTTTTGTTGTAGAAACACAAAATGGACCAAGACACTGACATGACTCACGACAGTCTCTTGATCCTTCCTCTGTCACTGGAATCTTGTGTGGGTCCCTTTGCCTAATAAGTAACCCAAACATCTTAGTGTAAAACAAAAGGAAGGCCTTTGAGATTTAGCCCATAATGTCTACTCATCTCTCCTGCTTGCCCTTTCCATTCATTCATTCATGCAGTCATTTATCCACTACACAAACTTTTTATTTTTAAGACAGTTTCACTGTGCATCCCAGGCTGGTCTCAAACATATGGTGATCCTCTTGCTCCTTACTCCTGCCTCTTAAGTTCCAGAATCATAGTCTTGCACTATGGTGTACAGCTCTTTGTTTTTTATTTCAAATCATTTGTTTTTAGGTGGAATCTCACTATAAAGGCCCTACTTGAACTTGTGTTAATCCTCCTGTCTCAGCCTTGGGTTGCAGATAGACATCCCTGCCTGTTCTTTCCGTTTGGAAATAGGTGTCCAGCGTCTCTGGGTCTCTGCAGCCCATGCTTTCTCCATCCAGACACTGTTTGACGTGAGAAGTCTCTGACCCCCTCCTTCGCTCTAGTCTCCTCCTGTGATCCTACTCTATCCAGAGCTGGCCTATTTTCTAAGACAGATGTCACTAAGTTCTTTCAGACAAGCAGTTTGTTCAGCCCTCACCTGACCCATATTAAATGCCGTGTCCCATCTCTGGGCACCCTGCTTGACAGGAAAGACTGGCTGTGGTCATTTGTTGTAGAGAGGTAGACAGGCCAAGAACATTCTCAGAGGCTCTGAAGAAAAGACAACAGGAACTTTAGTTCTGGGTCCTCGGTAAGGAGTGCACTTGGCAAGGCCAGTCTGAGGCTGGAGTCAATGCCTTGAAGGAGTGAAGGCTGCAGTTTCTGGAGGTGTGACGCTTCCCTCTTGGTTGTATCAGCTGTTACACTGCTGATGTATGTCTGATGTATCTTGTGTTCTTTTCCCCAGCATTATCTGATTTGGCTCTCTGCTGACCTTGGTCATTATCCCCCACTAATAGTATATAAGTTGCTGAACTTCTTAATAAACTTCCTTGTATAAGTTGTCAGCTTCTTAGTCCCAGGTATTTTTGCCCTTTTCATTTCTCACTCCTGGTCTCCTATTCAACACCTTGCTCTCTGGGACTTTTATTCCTGAAGGTTCAGGTCAGTTTATTGAGGGCAAGTGAACTGTTGAAAATTTCTGTCTAGCCTGTGTGTTTCCACATCTGATGACAACTTCATGTCAATTGTCACCCGTGGATAAGCTGTCAGACGGTGTTAACTGACTTCATGCTCACAGGCATTTATTTGTCTGTGAGTCATGGCGCAGGCAAAGGAACTGGACTTTTGCCAGGTCCCTATGACGAAAGCATCAGGGAAAATCATATTCACATATAAATGCAGGGGGAAGGCACCTATTATGACTTGATTAGTATCTAAAGAGCCTCAGTACCCTCTGTTCTCCCTCGTGTTTCCTGCTTCATTTTCATGATCCTGCTTGAGATCAGTTAAACCTGTGTAACTCTGACAGAAGAAGTCACTTTATGCTTCTGTCCGTCTTACCAGTCTTCCCTCATCTTTCCCCTAAACTTTTGTTGTTCTTTTTAGAGGAAGTTTTATATATTCCAGGCTTATTTCAAACTCTACTTAGCTGGGGATGACCTTGACCTTCTGATGCCTCCATTTTTCAAATGCTGGTATTAGGTGCAGCCCTGAGCACGGAATCGAGACAAGAACTGTGCCAACTGCACCCCAGCCCCAGCCCCAGCCCCAGCCCCAGCCACCCCACTCCCACTTTTTTTGTTTTGTATTTTATGTTTTAAGGCTTAGTTCTACTCTGTACCGTGCACTGGCCCCAAACCTCCTTGTGCCGCAGCCTTCCTCTTGTGAGAGTTACAGATGTGCTCGGCCTAACCCTCTACCTTGTCCCTTCTGTCTCCTTCCTCCTCTTCTTCCTCTTCCCCACTTCTTGTCAAATCAGGGTCCTGCCACACAGCCAAGGTTGGGCTCTAAATCAGGATTGTTCAGCCTTTCTGTGATTACAGTGTATGCAATATGCTTTTCTTTTGCTTCATCTTTAACAACCACCTCCTCCACAGGGTGTCCTAGTAGAAAGAGGATCTCGGTAATGCCCCCTTCCTTTCACATATCAAATGTATTCTGCTGCAAAAATTGAATGTGTCTTTAACACT